GTCGAGGAAAGTGAAGTCAGGACCTGGCTTGGGCGTCAAAACCCTAGCCTGAATGTGGGAGACTGGCTTACACTAAGCAGGAAGGTGGAGAAGAATGGCCAAACCATCGCCTTCTCCATCGACTTAGCGTCTTTTAGTGCCCTTGGGCAGACCCAGTTCAAGGCTTACTATAAGCTCGGACGGGTCTTCTTCCGGGCACTGACGGGCGCTGAGTCTCGAAATGAGGGTCGTCCAGGCGAACCTGCACCACAGTAGGGCAGCTTCGGCTGTCCTCTGTAAGGTAATGGAGACCTGTGACATTGCCTTGATACAAGAACCCTGGATAAATCAGGGTCAAATAAAAGGCCTAAAGGGAGTCGGAGTGGAACTTATATACAGTAGAACCTCTGACAGACCTAGGACCTGCATATTAATTAAAACACACTTAAAAGTACTGCCCTTACTAAAATTCTGCAACAGGGATCTGACAGCGGTACACTTAAAAACGAACGGAGAAGGGCCGAAGGACATTATAATCGGATCGGCTTATCTTCCTTTCGATGACCCTGATCCACCACCACCAGAGACTATGGAAGAGCTATGAGGTACTGCAGAGGAAATGGATCTCAGTTGATCATTGGCTCGGACGCAAATGCGCACCACACTTTCTGGGGAAGCACAGACACAAACCCTAGAGGCGAAGCTCTGCTGCAATTCTTTATGGCAAATAATTTAGACGTAATGAATAAAGGTAACAGGCCTACTTTTGTGACCACACAAAGGCAGGAAGTTATAGATCTAACATTAGCCACCACTTTTGTTAGCAATTTCATAAAAAACTGGAGTGTGTCAGAGGAGGAGAGTTGCTCGGACCACAAACACATAAGGTTTGAAATCTCGGGAATACAAAGGACCGTAGAAACCTACCGTGATCCTCGGAATGCAAATTGGGAAGCCTTTGGGGCAGACCTAACTAGCAAACTGACGAGTATCAAATCAATGGTAAGGAATGCGACTGAGGTGGAACTGGTCGCGGAGCAATTGACTGACGCGATCAGATCTTCTTTTGAGGAAAACTGCCCCCAGACTGTCAGAAGCCACAAACGGGCAACACCCTGGTGGACCGTCCAGCTAGAGGCAAGGAGAAGGCAGGTAAGGAAAAACTGGAATAGGGCAAAAAGATCCGGCGATTGGGGGGAATATAAGACCTCTTTGACCGAATATAACAAGGAACTGAAGAGAGCAAAGAGATTATCTTGGAGGAGGTACTGCGAGGGCATTGATAGTACCTCAGAATGTGCCAGACTTCAAAAAATACTCTCTAAGGACTCTCAGACCTCAATTAACTCTCTTGTAACTAGTGCAGGAGAATACACATCCACTGGGAAAGAGACGCTGACCGAACTCTTTCGGGTACACTTTCCCAGATCAATAGCCTTGGAGCAATCCCCAGAAACCTGGAAGAGTAGTGGACTTGAGAACTTCACGAGAAGAGCCTCAAGGGAAGACTGGCAGGTTTCAAAAAGGGTGATTGACCAATCAAAGTTAAAATGGGCTATAAGCTCATTTGAGCCATACAAATCACCGGGACCGGACGGTATTTGTCCAATAATGCTCCAGAAAGGACAGACCTACTGACGAGCAAACTTTGTACACTACTAAGAGCTAGTCTGGCCTTAGGATATATACCGAGAATTTGGAGGCTGACCAGGGTAGCTTTTATACCCAAGAATGGGCGTCTGGACTATTCTACGGCAAAGGCTTTTAGGCCCATCAGTCTTATGTCGTTCGTACTAAAGGCTCTTGAGAAACTAATGGACAGGTATGTTAGGGATGAAATAATGGGAAAAAGACCATTTCACCAAGACCAGCATGCCTATACAGCAGGACGATCAACCGAATCGGCACTCTATCAGCTAGTAAGCAAAGTGGAGTCGACGTTCGAAACAAGAGAAGTGCTTTTAGGGGCATTCCTCGACATAGAAGGGGCGTTTGATAACACCTCATTTCAGTCACTGACGAGAGCTACAAGGTACCTCGGATTAGAGGAGACCTGCTGCAGGTGGATAGACTGCATGCTCAAAAGTCGAGTGGCATATACCACCCTCCTAAATGAGACTGTTGCGGTCCGGGTGGCGGGAGGATGCCCGCAGGGGGGAGTTCTCTCCCCTCTGCTGTGGAATCTCGTTATGGACGGACTGCTTAATAGTCTCAACAGGGCTGGTTTCAACACTCTGGGATATGCAGACGATTTGGTCGTGTTAGTCAGAGGTAAGTTTAACACAACAGTAAGGGAGCGAATGCAAAGGGCCTTGAAGATTGTGGAATTATGGGTGACACGGGAGGGACTAAATATTAGTCCTACAAAGACCGTAATAATCCCCTTCACCAAGCGCAGAATACTTGAGGGACTAGGCCCTCTAAGACTCTGCGGTGATGAGATTCCTCTCGGGGAGGTCAAGTATCTAGGAATCACGCTTGATACCAAACTGACCTGGAACCGACATTTGGAAAATGTCACAAGGAGGGCGGTGACTACACTAGCGGTAGTCAGACGCCTTCATGGAAAAAATCTGGGGCCTTAGACCACAGATGGTGCACTGGCTGTACACTGGAGTGGTGAGGCCTTCAGTAACATATGCATCCTTGGTATGGTGGCCTAAGGTAATGCAACAAACAACAATGCTCAGCCTCAGCAAGGTGCAAAGACTTGCTTGTCTGAGCATAACAGGGGCGATGAAATCAACGCCCACTACATCAATGGAGGCGCTTCTGGACCTTCCGCCTCTTCACATAGTGATCCAGGCAGAGGCAAGAATGGGACTCTATCGACAACAAAGTGTCTTGTCTCTGGGAAATAGGACAGAAACAGGACACACAAAGATGGGAAATCCTATCGGGGGACCTCTACTCCAAATGAGATCGGACCAGATGACCCCTCTTTATCACTACCACAAACCATTCGAGGTGGACAAAATGGATCGAGGAATGTGGACAGATATAACATTCCTTCAGGATGGACTAACCTGGTATACAGACGGGTCAAAGACCGCTGAAGGAACAGGAGCTGGAGTATTTGGGGAAAGACCAAGGGTAAGTCTATCCTTTTCCTTGGGTAAACACTCAACCGTATTCCAGGCAGAAATCTTCGCCATTCTACAATGTGCGAGAGAAAACAATAGAAGAGCTTATTCAGATAAGCTCATCAATATATGCTCAGACAGTCAGGCGGCACTTGGGGCGCTTATGAGCCCAAAGGTATCGTCGAGACTCGTCTGGGAATGCTTAGCAGGAATAAATTGCGGATTACAACAGGCCTCTTGACAGGACATATGGCTGTCAAGTGTTACCTGAACAAGCTCAATCTGTATCAAGGAAGTCTTTGCTGCAGACTCTGCGATAAAGATCCTGAAACAGCGGAGCACATAATGTGTCACTGCGAGGCTCTGGATCGCAAGCGACACTTTTTATTTGGGAAAGCTAGGCTAGAACCGGAGGAACTATGCTCCCATCCTATCAAGGACCTGCATAAGTTAGTGCAGGGCACAGGGATAGGAGAATGGGTGCAGATATAGAAAGGGGACAAACACAATAGACCTCACAGGTCGCAGTGTTTCCGGCAGAGGACGGCCCCTTATTGTGGAAAAAAAAAATAATAAATATGCGGCAAAACGAAAAAAAAACAGAGTATACTTTACATTGATCTACTATTGATTGTAATATTACATAGGTAAATTCTTTATCTTTTAGTTTATTTTGTTTTTTTTTGTGGACAATTGGGCTGCTAATTAACATCAACTTTATAAAAGTAAAGCACCTCTGCTAGATTTCTTGGGTAGTGTAATATGGGTGGCGCAAAATATAGTTCTTTAGTCTAAATCCACCACATCTCAGAAAAATATTAACAAAGTAAACAATATAGCTAGTTTATCAGATGTTTATGTCAATGCCATTGAACAAAGCCAAGACTGTTAACCAATCCAGACAAGGGAACAAGATTTTTTTAATTGTTTTAGATTTTTTTAAACAATATAATAAAAAACAATAAAAATAAAGCACTGGCCATTGAGAATGACTTCAGTTAGCTTGACGCTTTTCGCATTGTTATAATTATGGTACTATACAGGGTGGTCCAAACTGTATTCAAGAAACTTCGGCAGCATATTCTGCAGATAAAAAAAAGTAAAAAAGTTCGTACAAATGTATGTCCTAAAATATTTAGTTTTGGACATACATAGTGTAGAAATTTAATTTTTATTTTGGTTTTCTCCAAATAATTTCCGAAGTAACGTCAATATTTGGATGAAAATTGGTGTCTGGGAGTTTTTTAACATGATAAATTTGTTTTTGATGACAACATGAGACTGGTAACTTTTTTGAAGAGTAATAACTTTTCGTCCGTACCTGTATAAAACTACTGAGTAAAAAAATATACATTTCCGTGATTTTTATGTAAAAAATATCTCTTGGTGAAAATCGTTACGAGCAACCGTTCTCAAGATATTTAGAATAGAAATAGTCAATACATGTCATTATTGACAAAAAATAAATAAATATGTTGAGTAGATAGTTATCTGACTTATTTGATTGAAATGAGAAATTTGGGAACTTTATTTTTTAAAATTAATCGTAAAGCCCTCCTTCGAAAAAATGGTAATAAAATAGTTTCTGTTGAACATTTAACACAAAATCATTTCAAAATATTATACAGGTACGAAAAGTTATTACCTTTTAAAACAGTTAAAACATATGTAGGTGGCGCCCTCTACAAATAGGAGTCATATTAACATCAAAATCAAATTTCTCATGTCAAAAAACTCCCAGACTCCAATTTTTATCCAAATATTGACGTTATTTCAGAAATTATTTGGAAAAAATCGAATTAAAAATGAAATTTCTACACTATGTGTCTTCGAAACTAAGCAATTTAGGATATACATTTATACGATTTTTTTTACTTATTTTTATCCGCAGAATATACTGCCGAAGTTGTCAGTATAATCACTATATTTATTACTTACCTCAAAATCATCTCCATGATAACTTCTTGTGGCTAGAGTTTGATTTTTTATTATCTTTGTGGATACTTTATACATATGAGTTCCAGCCATTGAGTGAAAATACATGTCTCTAAAGCCATCTTGTTTTAATTCTCCTAGTTCTACACTAAATACACCATCGCTCCATTGGAAATTGTGACCGGCAATAAAAAAATCTCCCGCTAGTGGTTCAACATAGAAGTAGTTGTGATTTACCCTCCAAAATCGTTCTTCTGAAAGACTAAATACTGTCAGACCAAATCCTGCTAAGTCTATAAAATATATAACACTCACTTTAGTTATTGTTTGCTCATAAATTGTTTGTAATAATTACCAGGAAAATATGCAAATGCGTCATCACAAGTATCTTTTGTAACATCAACAGTAACGCTTGAAAGAATTGTTCTCGGAGTTAGATAATCCGCAGGTATATTAAATCGATGAGTAACTGCCCCTGTTTTCAGGTTAATGATAATCAGTTGATGAGGTTTAATTGTTTGTGGGTTCCCTAAAAATAACATATAATAAATTTATTATAATATAAAAATATTTGACTAATTAGTCTGTCTTGATTCCAAAGGCGTTTCCACTAAACCTCTCTCTTTCTAAATTTTTAATTTAAATTCATAGTAGGCCCATGAATTTCACGCTCTAAAACTCAATATCTTGAGCTGATGCTCATATTATTTTTTTAGTTTATGACGATCAGTAATATAATAATAATAAGAGATATTCCTTTCTCTAAGTAAACTTCTACTTTGTAGTTAACAAAAAATAACGAAGAATAGAACGTAAAATCAAATATCTAACTAATTTTGTTTCTAAAAATATTATAAACACAGATATACAATATATTATTAATATATTGTTTAAAAAAGAAGCGACACCAGAAAACCTTTCGTGTGCCAAATTTAAATGCTCAGGCCTTACATAAGCGCGAGTTTGTCATATACAGGGTGTTTTAAAAAACATGTGCTATTTATCGTGGGGATATTCCTCACGTAAAGATAAGATTTATTTTTATATATAAGTCCGATCCTGCTTTGTTTCGTAGCTACAAAGGGTTAAAGTTTTTTTTATTTTCTTGGGATTTAGGTTCGAGAAAACTTTGATTAAGTTTTTATTTGGTTTTCCACTATCTTTATTTGGTTTTTACAGGAAATACAAACGTTTAGGCTATCAATGATGAAGGCTATAATGTTAGCCGGAACGTTTGTATTTCCTTTAAAAACCAAATAGATATAATGAAAAATCAAATGAAAACTTAATCAGAGTTTTCCCGAACCTAAATCCCAAGAAAAAAAATAGAATATTTAGAAACAAGTTCAAGAGTATCAAATTTTCCAAGAGTATTTTTCAACTGCTTTAGCGATTCGGATTAAATTTTGAAAGCAAAAGTTACTATAAGTGCGACATATTTTATTGTTAATAAGGTGTCGACGTATTCACCAGGGACGTGCATATGAGTTATCACTGGAATTATTTAAAAAAAAACATGTGCGCGACTGACTTTTTTCTCACAAAATTGTAAAATTAATGATAATGTCGATAATTGCGATTACAAGTTGTCTCTTGATATTTTGTCGATTTCGGTTTCCTTGATGAGATAAACGCAAATATATTAATTTGCCTTAATCCAAGTATAGCAACCTTTAAAAAATATTAATGTCTCTAACTGACCAAAGTGTTAAATAAGTACTCATTGATCCCTCATCAAAATATACGAAAAAAAGCTTACTTTACACATGGGTGCGAATGATGATGATGAGGCATTATTTGTTCTTTCAATTTGCTCTAAGTCACACTGAACATCAGTGCTATAAATTTTAATAAAATGTAATAATGAATTAGATTAAATAGATAAAATGTATTAGTTTTATTTTAATTCTTTAGCCCCCTGTAGCTACAAAGCAGAATCGGATCTATGTTGAAAAAAAAAATCTTATTTTTATGCGAGAAATCTCCCCACTAGAGACGGTTCATGTTTTTTGAAACACCCTGTATTTAATGAAATTATTTAACCTATAATTTTAATGACAGTCGCTGATAAATTATAATTTGTTGACGTTTTTTTTATTTAAGGATATATTGTTTATATCAAAGATAATTGTGTTTAAAACCCTAAAGTAAAATCTAGTTTTTACGTATTAAAGCATAGTCTCTTTGCACATACATTTTTTAAATTTATGTATAGCTCTTAAAAACGGTCTTAGCTTTGTTCTTAGCTCTTAATGAATTTATAAGTTTAAAAGAAAGAAAAATGTTCTTTTTCATTTTTTTAAGTTTTTTACACATATACTATATAAAAATAATATCAATAATAAAGAAAACAGGAGAAATAAAACGTCATAATATAATAATAATTTTATAAGACCAGTATTTCTCTCAAAAACCTATTTTTTTGGAAAATTGCAAATTATCAAAGAATTCGCAAAAAAACTTAGACATCTTTCTGGAGTTGATAGAAGATACCACCCATAAAACTATTTACATTTTTTTACAACTTTTAATTTAAATGTGTACCAAGTTTACATTTTTTACATGCTGGTGATTACGAGAGAAGATTACAATTTTGTAAATGGTTTCGGAAAGGTGTTCAAGAGCCCCCTTTTTTCTAGAAAAATATTAGGGACAGTTGAATCATTATTTACAAATTCTGGTACATTTAACAGAAAAAAAATCATATTATTGCGATATTTATGTTTTTTGATCATTTTCTCTACATAAGAATCACTTACACAACACTTGTAACTTATTTTACGACTAGAACTTTCCGGATTTATTACAATATAAGCTGGTATATTAATATCATAAGCTTTTTTTAAATAGTGCCCTCTTGTTTTTTAAAGCTACCAGCAACTGCTAAATTTCTTAAAATCCCTGCGAAAATAGTACGACGAGGCTGTGTCCTTTCAGGATACAATGTTCTATAACTTGCGCATGCCATATCGGAATTTCTACTATTTTTTAAGTAAACATCATATCCCTCCTCACTTGTGAACATATTGTTGACTGTTAATACACATTACACTATCTAGTATAATTTTTTGTGTCCAGATCTGATACTTAATAGAGTAAACCAAAATTAACTTGCTGTCATATAAAGTGTCAATTCGATTTCCAAGGCAGACTTGATCTTTTGAGCGAATTTTTAAAAAATCTATTTTTTGGGTGAATTTACATAATAATGAATAAAAATTAGATACCATCGTATAGATTATTTTTTGCTCTATCTAATAGTATAAAAATTCAAAATGGCGGCCATAAGAAAACAAACTTGTCTGTCGTGCGAAATCTAGAAGGCTTAGAAATTTTCTGAAAACGGCATTTAATTGGCCGGGGTTAAAAATATAAAACTACCAATTTACGTTGCAATAGATACAATAGTTCTGAAGATATTCTCATTTAAAATAAACGCATTATTTTAATTTTATTGACATAAATCCGAAACTAATCAAGACACCGGGGTTTACTTCATAGGTGCTTGTAAAATTTAACCGATTTCATATCTATCGTACTTTCTGAGATGCCAATGTTGAGCATCGAAATTGTCACCACCTTGTATACTAAATTGCCCAAGGGTGATTTAAAACGATATATTTTGAAAAACATGTATGTATGGCAGTGAACACTTCAGTGAACACTGCGGTCAGGGTGCCAATTAATACTCACCAACGATTTCTATAATACCCGTGTCAACAAACCACATTCTGTCACATGAATCGATTGCAACTCTGTAAACTGATACAAAATTTTGTGCATTTTCACTACCATTTGAAAATATATTAATATCCCAATTTGGATAAGGTATTAAAGGAACATTATGTCTATTTATACTATTTAATGGTACATAGTTGAGTGTGGATGGTACTCCGAGTCTTCTACGTGGAATGGTGATAAAGAGTTTGTCTCCCCATACGTTAGCTCCCATTGGAATATTGTTTACTGAAATATAAAATTAATAACTGTTTATAAAATACCAACAAGGTTTTACTGAACTCATCAGAACGCCTGCTAGTTTTCGGCAAAAAATGTTTAACTATCGTAAAAACATATGTAAAATGAGATGTAAATAAAAGTGTCAGAAATGCAAGACCGCAAGAGCCTTACATGCTGATCTTGATTTTGTGTCAGTCTTGATGTCCGCTGCAAATCACTGACATATTAGACCTTGTAGAACAGAAATTCAATGGAAAATAGTGGGAATATATTCAAAACTAGGGGAAGATATGAAAATATATAAAAAAATACTTGAATCGATATACAGGGTCGTTCACCACATACGACACGGAGTATTGTAGCTAAACGATTAGATTTTTACAAATTGTAAGTTTGGGTTCGTTGAAGGACTATTAGAGCTACAATTTAAAAATAACTTACAAGATACAGAGTGTCCCAAATAACTAAAAAATATTATACAGGGTGAGTTTCCTACGATGTTCTCTATGGGTATCTCGGAAACTACTGGAGATAGAGAGTCGGTTAAATAGGGAAAGAATTGCAGTTTTGTGGGGTCATAAATATGCGCCTTTCAGATTTTTGAAAAAGTTCATGGCTTACTAGATATTTCGGAAAAAACAAATTTCGGCTATTTTAAAAATTGTCCTTAATTCCATTATAAGCTATTTTAGACAAAAAGTTTTCAGATAAAAGTTGTAGATAATCACATCCTTAATGAGATTGTGTCCTCCGTTTTTTTCTAAAGCCTGTCACTTTTGACATATGACACAAACATATGTTTTTTTAAATGGAAACCATAGTTGGCCATGACTTGATAAAAAGCGCCATTTTTTAAGCTTTTCGGCGATATAAGCTATAATATGTTTTCTTCGAAAAATTACTATAGTTAGTTACTTAGAGTTATAGCTAATTCTTATAATTTTTAAACAATTTCACTTAGTTAGCCATGGAAACAAGTCCAATCGTCGTTGCTCTAAGAAATATCAAACTGTCGCATCCAAACTTTGTAACTTAAAATAAACAAAAATTGTAAATATCAATTTTTCAACTGAAGAAAATTGTGTAGGATTATTATTGGTTTAACTTTTCTTGATCATACATTTTCGAGGATACGTTGACTGGTGAATGTTGCGTATTTTAGAGAAAGGTTTTCAAGACATATCAGAAAAGTTAAATTAGTTATAGCTAATTCTTATCTTTCTTGACTAATTTCACTTAGATTACATGGTATTCTTATTCTGTGTTATCATTTATATCTTATAAATGGCAGAATATCTTATTAAACGGTTCTTTACAATTTACATTACACGAACAAAAACTTAAAAAAATAATATCACTACATACACTTCAAGTTGTTTTAGAAAATGTTCAAAAAATCCGTCATTGTTTTTAGTTGCATCTTTTTAAAACTGAATTACTACCTATTTTCACAGAAGGACCGGTCGACTTAATTAAAGTTCTCTCGTACCGCCACTTCGAGTGCCTCTCTTAATTCATAAGGTTTCTTGTAAACCTTCTCGTTAACCATACCGAATAAAAAATCTAAAATCGAGTCTAAATAATTATGATATAAATAATGTTTAACATTTCTTTCATTTTAGGGGGGGGGGGGTCATAATGAAACTAATGAAAGTCATGTTGGAACCACTCTATTGATGCGCGAGTATCTACATGCTTTTCTTCATTTGAAAAATTCATATTTACAATTTCTGTTTATTTAAATTTACAAAGTTTGGATGTGACAGCTTCTCATTTCTGAGAGCAACGACGATTGAACTTGTTTCCATGGCTAACTAAGTCAAATTGTTTAAAAATTATAAGAATTTGCTATAACTCAGCAATTTTTCGAAAAAAACATATTATAGCTTATATCGCCGAAAAGCTTAAAAAATGGCGCTTTTTATGAAGTTATGGCCAACTATGGTTTCCATTTAAAAAAACATATGTTTGTGTCATATGTTAAAAACGACAGGCTTTAGAAAAAAACGAAGGACACGGTCTCATTAAGGATGTGATTATCTACAACTTTTATCTGAAAACGTTTTGTCTAAAATAGATTACAATGGAATTAAGGACAATTTTCAAAATAGCCGAAATTTATTTTTTTCGAAATATCTAGTAAGCCATGCACTTTTTCAAAAATCTGAAAGGCGCATATTTATGATCCCACAAAACTGCAATTTTTTCCCCATTTAGCCGATTCTCTAATTCCAGTAGTTTCCGAGATACCCATAGAGAACATCGTAGGAAACACCCGTATGTAGTTGTATATTTTTAAATGGAACACCCTGTATAGTATTCTATTTTTAGATTCTTCGATTGAAATAAAGGTAAATTTGATTAAGGTTGATTTTTGATTTATTTTCAATTATGTGAAATTGCAGTAAAAAATTTAAGGCTTCAATTCTCCAAGGGTATCAAAGTTTTTAATACTAAATATTTGCTGAAGATTATTTATTGATCAGATATTGTGTTGCAATAATAAAAATTATACTACCTTATAGAGGGTGTCCCAAAATTTATATTAAATAATTACTAGCTTTAAACGGCAATAATTTGCTTAATTTAACTGGTACACCCTGTATATTTTACGTGAATCAGATGCACAATTTAATTTTCTATCAAATTGTATTATACCATTTTTTATCTATCTCTTCAAGTTTTCCTAGAAAATGTATTTTCTTATAATTTATAATTAATTGCTTACTACGTCAAAACCCTCGCATCTACATTGCCGTAAGACGTCAGCTGACAGTGTTCCCATCTTTCGAAAACTTATCTCCCTAAAAATATAAAATGCTCACTTTCAAACTCCCCAAAATATCTCTAAAAAACTAAAAAAAATCGCCTAAAAACCCCCAAAAAATATTATTAAATAAACAGGTAATGGTGTGTTTTAAGTTGAACTTGAAACGTCTGTTTGCTGCGCTTGACCTTAGAATGTATAAAAATTTAATAAGAGTGACGAAGAAGACAGTTTCCCGTTTATTTGTCTATTTTGCTCGCTTCTGCGCATATCGATGGCGGTAACAATAAAATTTTGAAAATCGGGTGGCCTGATATAAATCAAATAAATAAATGAATTATTTTGTTTTATTTATATTGTCCTATTAATTTTGATCATAGCTGTAGAAATAAATAAAAGCTACTGATATTTTATCCCTAAAAATACCCCCAAAAAAAATTACCCCCTAAAAAAAGCTCTGTACAGATTTTTTCTCCTTAAGTTTAGTACTATTAGTTAGTACTACTAGTTATACTAGTTGGTGCTGGAACGGTTGAAAAAAAGGCTGAGCGGCAGCTGCGTCCTCGAATGCTCGCGCAGCTGCCCGCGACATTATTGGCAACGTTGATCAATTTGGAAGGTTTTTTTATACTCTTTAATTTTAAAAACTTTACGACAGTAAAAAAATGGTTTCGCCCAAAAAAAATGCAAAAACTGCGTTTGAGTGACTTTCGCGCCTTCTAACTTTGTCCTCGTAGGTTTTAGATGTTACTTAGTTTACTTAGATGTTACCTGTTGTTACTTAGAGATAAAAATGTAGAGAATTTAATTCTTTTTTGTTTCGTAAAATTTTCTGTGAGACCTACGGTTCAGCCAGAAAACTGAATCCAATTTTTTTGAGTTTCTCAAAAACGGTTAGGTGGGGGGATACAAATTTTCGAATTTCAGCTTTTCCAGTGGACCACTTACTGCTGGCAAAGTATGAGAGCGGGGATAATTTCATGGGAGTCTAGAACTTTTTTAATGCCAGATTAATTGTACTATACTCTGCTTCTTTTTCTCAGGTAAGATTTGTTTGTTCCTTGGTAAGAAAATTGTCATGGATACTGTTTTTGGTTTTTAATTTGTTCTTTGAATATTTTATGGAAATGTTTCACTTTAGGTCCATAAAATTAAGAAATATGTTATAAAACGAAGTAGACATTCTGTATTTTTGGATAAAAACAAAAATCTTGAAGTGAGGAAAAATTCAATCTTTCCTAAAATGTTCGTATTATTTGCTCCAATTGATTTGTGATATAGTTTTTTAAACTCTGATTTGAGTTTCTTTTTTAATGTATTTGTAATTTCCAACCAAAATCATATTAAAATTTTCCTATTAAGGAAAATAAAAAAACTCGTTCTAGTTCCTTGGAACTAGAATTCCCACCTCTAATTCAGTTCCCAGAGGCCGCCAGAGATACAGTTTGTCAGAGACTATGGCCAGAAAGTTGTATTAGCCACAAATACAGCTAGTATACCATCTCGTATATGGTACCGAAAGCTCGAGTATCTGTAAAATAACATCACACGGTAGGTAAATAATAAATTTTAGTACTGCAGAGAGATAATGTCAAAAGGTACTGGTTTAAAAAAGATTAAGGAATTAAGATTAAAGTTAATTAACCAACTTTTAAGGTACCTATAAAATTCAGTAAGTGTTATTATTAATAAAATATTTTGTTGTATTTATTCCTTTGCAATATTATTTTTTTTTATTTTTTTGTATATAAGTTATACTACAGGAAGGAGGAACTGATAAATACAGGAAGTTGCTTGAGCTTGAAAGTAAGAAATCCTTTTTATATATTTTTTTGGTATGTGGTATTTTACTCGATTAGGTTCTTTTAGTTTTATACAGTTTTTTTCACAATATTTGGAGTAATCACTTGTCACTCAAATTTTAAATATATTAATTTTCTGCTATACGTTCAAATTGTACCAACTTATTTGTTTGTAAAATAAAATAAACTACTTTGAAATTAAAATGACAGACACATCTATCATTATCAAGGATTTTGTCGTTGCACAGACTATAACAATATTTTATAAGAGAAAGTGTTAATATTTTTTCAATGTATTTTTTATATGTTAATTTTATTATTGTCAATACAGATTAATTGAAAGGATAATATTATTGATTTTAATTAAGTATTATATTAACCTTGACGAGATAATCTTAATTTATTTAAATATGCAATAGGCACAATACCAGTCCCATAGCGTACCTATAATTCACTATATTTAACTAAATAATTACACTAGTTTTATCAGAAAACATACTGAAATTAAAAATAACACGACGCTTTTAATTTACAGGGTGTTTCTAAAAACATGTGCTATCTCTCGTGTTAGAGTCACCACGTAAAAATAAAATGTATTTTTTATATCAACATAGGTTCGATTCTGCTTTGTTTCGTAGTTACAGAAGGTTAAAGTATTTTAAGACTTTAAGCACCTGTTTAAAGAAGACCGAAATCCACAAAATATCAAGATACAACTTTTAATCAGCATTAAACGGCCTAAACAATTTTCCTAACAAGAGAAATAAAAGTCAGTGGCGCACATGTTTTTTTTAGAATAATATTCCAATGAATATTTATATGCACGTTCCTGATGAATAAGTCGAAACTTTTGTAGCATTAAAATATGTCGCACTTATAGTAACTTTTACCCTCAAAATTTCATTCGAATCGCTAAAGGCACTTAAATGAAAATTATAATAAATCGAAAAAAATGAAGACTTTAACCCCCTGTAAAGAAATAGCGAAAAATCGGACCATGTTGATATAAAATTTAAATCTTATTTTTACGTGAGGAATCTCCCCACGAGAGATAGCACATATTTTTGAAACACCTTGTATATAAGACTTCATCAAAATTCAAACCGGATCTTATGTGTATTAAACCTGTTTCAATACCATATATCGGCTTTTGATTTTTCTGAAGAATATTAACCATTAGAAACCTAGTGAGATACGTTTGGATTCATATAGTATATTTCTTAATTTATTATTAACATCATATTTAGATGAATGTAAATATTTTCTTTCTGGGAGAAAACTTCACTTACCGTACCGATAATCTATTGACCCTCGTGACGTCACTGATTCCGATTTAGTTTTATTTACGGTCTGTTGGGTATTTATTATGGAGTGATTTTTAATTGCCACATTTTCAGCATTTGTAGGCCCTCTAAAATAAAATGCTTCTTCGTCGGCTGACTCATAAGGACTACCCCTAAAAATTAAACAAATGCTATGTTAGATTTAATATTTAAAATAATAATTTCTGAACGTTTATTTTTAAAATTTGTCTGGCACAAATTTAAAAATAAAGAAAACGAATTTCATATCTATGTGCAGTTAAATTTGTTTTTTTTTTTCAATCATGTTTTATTTCTTAAAATAAAACAAAAGGTAAATGCTATTTGTAATTTCCAACCAAAATCATATTAAAATTCTCCTATTAAGGAAAATAAAAAAGTCCTATTAAGTATCGAAGGTCTTGTTTAAACTAACCTTTAAAAACCTATAAACGAATACCTAATACAATGTGTTTGTCACGGTCATTTAAAATGTTTTAATTTCAACAGTAAACAATAAACAACTAACCTGTATGCAAGACGTGGGGTTAATTTTCCATCACTGGGCCAAGCGAAATCAATCCTAGTCCATGTGAATTCTTCATTAAGACCAGCAGCCCAAACACTATTTACCACAAAACATAAAAAAAGTAAAACACTACAAATACTTGTTTTGTCAAGAGTTATAAACAGCATGTTGTCTCTTAAGTGAATCTCTATCGACTAAGTAATGTCCGGATTTTATAAACATGCGTTTACAGCAAACTGCACCGGCAAATGTGGGTCTGTGTGTTCCAACCGTTTGGTTTCTGTTTCATTTTCTCTGATTTTAAACGGTAAAATAGTAAATTTATAATAACAGGTAATTTAAAAAATTATCTGAGCTCAAATAAGGTAATTAAGACATTTTTATTATTATTGTTTAAAAACAAAAAATAAAGAAATAAGTAAAATATTTTTATGTTAGGAGGAGGGAAGGATGCAAGGTCTTAATAATTAGATAATAGTAATTAGGTAGAATTTCTGTATAAATTTTTAAGCAATAGATACTATGTCACAGATAAGGTCCACATCATACCAAACTTTTTTTTATTTATTGACCTTAATAAAATTTTACTTCGGTGACAGTTTCTGCTTTGATTTAGATTAAAGCCGGTTCTACACGATGTGGCAAACACCTTCCAAACGTTGGACACACGAACATTCGCCGCATCGTGTGGGAGATACACGATGATCAGTGGCGGACTAAGCCTGTCGGGTACCCGGGGCGGCGAAGCTAAATGTGGCCCCCGCCCCGGTCTGTTTAGATAATGATATACTTCTAATGCACATTTTGTAGAAATTGAATGATGTATGTATAATGGTTGACAAAATTCATACAGGGTGTCCCCGGCTGAGCCTGCGTTAGAAGTTTCTAGAGAACTACAATATCTAGATACGATATTTTGTGCATATCATTGTTTCACAATGAGATCTATCGATTAAAAATATTTTCAATATGGCGGCACTTTCGGAAGTACCGGAAGTTGACAGCAACTTTCTTATTTTAAATGGGTGACCCCATTTTTTATTACATACTTAAATTCTCTGTAAAATTTTATGAATTTTGATATTAAACCTAAATATATATATAATACCTAACGTTAACCGTTTTTGAGAAAAAAAAAATAATTATAATTTTTGGAGGAAAAAGACTGCCTGTCAAAAATATGTATATAGAATAAACGTCAAATTTAGTGATTGCCCAAATTTAGCCACTGTACCATAAAGAGAAGACATGGGGCATAGATAGCCATATGTCCAATATGTCAATAAATAATGTCAAAATAAATTGTCCGAATGTCATATAATAATGGCCGCAGCTGTCATGGAATTGAGCGATTAAAAAATTATCATAAATTATTTTTTTTTCAAATGGAAATCCACTTTTTTTATTTCATTCGTGAACTTGTGAAAAGGCTTTCGTTACTTTCGTTTCTAAAATTTGTTACTTTTTGACTATACATGTTCCTGTACCTCAAATAAATCGTTTTTAAATTATTTTTAAGATTTAGCTTTAAAGCGTATATTTTTCTTGATTTTAGCCAGTAGCCTATGACGGTATATTATCGACCATCATTTCAAAGCTAACATTGCGCTGTTTTTTTTTTCGGTCGTATATTATTAAAATATCAACTATTAGATATCACTAAAGAACGAAAATACGAGATATACAGGGTGTCCCAGAAATAAGTGCAAATAAGTATATTTTTCTTGATTTTAACCAGTAGCCTATGACAGCATATTATCGATCATTTCAAAGTTAACATAGCGCTGTTTTTTTTCGGTCGTATATTATTAAAATATCAACTATTAGATATCACAAAAGAACGAAAATACGAGATATACAGGGTGTCCCAGAAATAAATGCAAATATTTTAAGGGGTGGTAGTTCTGGTCAAAATAAACATTTTACCGTTACCGTTTTTCAAATAAGTCCAAAATAACCGAGTTATTTTACTTTGAAAATTTCCAAAAAATCATTTTTTGCTAAAATTTTGAGAACTACTGGATCTTTTCTGGATTTTCTTTCATGCAAATTTAAGCTACTACCTATGTTGCCATATTATTAAGAAATTATGTTTTTTAACTTCAAATTTTAAAAAATTCCAAAATTTTTTTCAAAAAATTCCAAATTTTCAATTTTGTTTTACAAAAAATACCTCATGGGCGTGTTTCTGAGGCCGAAATATACTACCAGTTAAAATATTTGCACTTATTTTTGGGACACCCTGGATTTATATAAATACACTTTTTAAACTTTGAAGCAGCCAGTAGTTATAATATAGAAAATTCTGGAAATAATGGAAATAAATTGTCTGACTGATTGACACTTAATGTCAAAGGAAGCTAGATAAAATCAACAAAAATATACGTTTTCAAACTAAATCTTAAATAACTTAAAAACGATTTTATTTTAACGAATTGGAAAACCTTTTCACTAGTGGAATAAAAAAAGTGGGTTTCCATTTGAAAAAAAAATATTTATGATAATTTTTTAATCGCTCAATTCCATGACAGCTACCGCCATTATTATATGATATTTGAACAATTTAATTTTTGAAATAGATAGCCACATGTCTTTTTTTTATGTCACAGGGGCCGTGATAATCACTAAATTTGACTTTTAGGCTGTACAAATTTTTTTGACAGTGGTAGTTTTTTTCGTCCAAAAATTTTAAATATTTTTTTCTTAAAAATGCTTCCAGGGAAATGCCGCGACAAAATATCGCGAATTTGTAAGTCCTCCAAGATCCGAGGGGCCCCTTCGCTGTCTCAGGCCCGTGGCTCCCGTTATACTAAAGACTTCACCGCTCATCATCAGTAATGTAGCTAGAATACCGTTGAAAAATAACTTAAAAGCTAAAATAAATAAATTCGGTCTCAAAGTATATAAAAAATAATAATTATTCGATATTTTAAACTACGTTTAAAGTTTAAAGAAAATTACCCCTTGATTTAATTTCCTAAATAGAAAATACCATTGGCAATTACTGGGGCCTGATAATTGATAATTCAGTAAATATCTGCTTCCATTTATACTGTTTATAGTTGGCATATACGTATGGTTTGCATACTCCACCTACAAACTGCTTTATAACTACTGAACACATATTGGCCTTGTTTGCCAGTTGAATAAAAAAATACTTAGTAAGATTCGGAGGCCCTCTGAAAGAGGGGGCCCGGGGCGGACCGCCCCTTGTACATTAAACGGCCTACACGATTTTAATATCAAAAGAAAAAAAGTCAGTGGCGCACATGATTTTTTTTTGAAAAATATTCCAGTGATAATCCATATGCACGTCCCTGATGAATTTATCGACACTTTTTTAGCATTAAAAGATGTAGCACTTATAATAATTTTTACCCTCAAAATTTCATACGAATCACTAAAAGTACTTGGAAGAAAATTATAATAAATTAAAAGATTATTAAGACTTTAACACCCTGTAGCTGTGAAACCAAGTGGAATCGGACCTATGTTGATATGAAAAATAAATCTTATTTTTACGTGAGGAATCTCCCCACGAGAGATGGCACATGTTTTTTTAAACACCTTGTATAATAGCAAGGGACATTTTAATACTTATTTACTTTATTAACATATAAAAAAAATTAAATCTATTAAAATAGAGCAACCAAACGAAACATTTTTAGTATTCAAAATAAAAAATATATAAGTTTCTCATCGCACAAAATATACAAGGTGGTCCGAACTGTATTCCGGAAATTTCAGCAGCATATTCTGCAGATAAAAATAAGTAAAATAGTTCGTATAAATGTATGTCCTAAAATGCTTAGTTTCGCAGATACAGAGTGTAAAAGTTTCCATTTTTCCCAAAAAATTTCTGAACTGAGAATTTTTTGACATGAGAAATTTGATTTTGATGTCAATATGACTCCTACTTGTAGAGAGCGCCACCTACATATTTTGAACAGGTTTGAAGAGTAATAACCTTTCATCTGTACCTGTAAACAACTACTGAATAAAAAACTATTCATTTACGACGTTTTTTATGTAAAAAGGATATCTAGGTAAAAATCGCTATGAGATGGTTCTCGAGATATTTGGAATCGACTTTATCAATACCTATCATCATTAACATAAATTAAAAATGTCGACTAAATAGTTATTAGACTGAAATCATACATTTAAAATGTTTTTGTGCCAAAAGTTCAACAGAAACTGTTTTTTTATCATTTTTTCCCAGAAAATTTATGAGTAATTTAAAAAAATCAAATTTCCCAAATTTATTATTTAAGTCAAGTAACTCAACGTGTTTATTTTTTGTCAATAATGACATGACAAAAAAATTGATTAACAATTAAAAACTGCACCAAATTAAGCCAAATAAATAAATAATGTGATAATTATTTTATTTACATAACCGACAGCGTAGCGGCACGGGGTACCGCAATTTTTGTGATTGTCACTTTTATAACAGAATTGCTACTGAAGCAAAATCGCTGGATACGCAACTCCTACGACCAAGGATGTCAAATATCTCCAAATAAGAATATTTAAAAAACCACCGACCTATTTTTGGCCACAATTTTTGGTGTCATTTTTAATATAGTCCAAAGAAGAAACTAACGTCGAAAATAAATTTAACCAAAGTCAGTAAATAAAAAGAGTACTGACAGGACTAGTAAAAGAAACACATTTTTCTCTTTGTCTTTTTTTAAATAAGTCCAAAATAATCAAGTTATTCAAGTATGAAAATTTTAAAAAAAATTATTTGTTTTTAAAAAAATTGGCTTGCGTTATGCCCCTCAAAGTGTGAATAATTCTTCCATATATCGAGATGTCATAATTCCTGTACATTTGCTCTAGATAGTCACCTTAAGGTTAGATTTTCTTTAAAAATTAGGCCCTCTTGGCAGTAAGTAGTAGTATTAATACGCTTAATTTAATTTAATCAGAGACTATATTATAGTTTATTATAGTTTAGACATTGCGTCTAAACAAAACAATACTAAAAGTAGGATATGACAAATAAATTTTGACATTTAGTATTAGGCAAATAAGGTTCAAGCGTGTACAAATATGAATTTCCTGATAAATGGTGAATATATTCATACTTTGCATCACTTTAGTCTAATATTTTATAACTAAATTTATTTTTATTTAAAAATAATTATTAATTGATTCAACAAATTTAACTGAATATAAGACCACTAAATAAACATTTGACTAGCAAATGGACTGTTATCAATCAGTTTTGCTTCTGCAATAATAATCGGCTG